TCGGTGTTGCATCTTCCTTGCTGGTCGAGGCGGTCGCAACACTTAAGATGGCTCAGAAAGATCTATTTAACCTAGGACACAACTGGTATGGTTTCTACACTCAACTTGGAGCACTTCCTCCTTGATTTTGACATCAGCTCAATTCCTTTGAGAGCAGTGGCCATTCCACCCTTGAATTTCTCACTTCTACCTGAAGGACTTCTCAGCCTGGTCCTGCCCCTCCTCTGCCATTGCACCTATGGGACCCTTTCTTGGAGTAGATATACATCCAACAGCACACTGAATCTCTCCAATTAGGGGTCTCATAATCATCCCAAATTCAATACCTTCCAATTGTATCCAATGTCTCCTCTGCAAATGTGAATCTCTGTCTTAGAAAAGGGTATGATCTCTTACTTTGTTATGAAGGGCAGAGACCTTTTCTCCAGACTCCCTACATTTGACCAGACCCTGGCTGTGGTAGGGCCATGGACCCAAAAACATTTGATCAGTCAGCAAGTCCTCCTGACTTCACTACCTCATCTCTGCAGCCTTGATTCTATGCTCAGCCCCTATCATCTTTTGCTTGGATCACTAGAAATATTTTAGTTGATCTCTTTAATATCTCTCTTATAAACTGGATGTGATGGTGCATGCCTTTAATTCCAGGACTCAGGAGGTTGAGGCAGATGAATCTCTGTGAGTTTGAGACTAGCCTAATCTTCAAAGGGAGTTCCAGCACAGTCAGTGCTGTCACACAGAGAAAACTTGTCTCAAAAGAAATAACAAAACAAAAACATTAAAAACAAGAGAGGGGGGAGGTCTGCCTTATTTTCTTTCCATCAATACAAGACTGTCAAATTCTTTTCTAAAATGCATGTCTGATAGTCACACTCAGGTTTACAAAATTATTTAAAAACTCTCAAGACTCTCCACTGAACTGTGATGGAACCTTGCCTCACTGTGGTCTAAGTCTGGTTTACCTACCTGCTCAGGCTTCTGTCTACCTATTGGACTTAGTTTCCACTTCACTTTCCAGATCTCAACCACAGCGAACTTTTTCTATTACAAAGCCTCTGTCTAGACACATGGCTGTTTATCCTGTTCAGAATCTGTTCATCTATCCACAACATTTGACAGCAAATTTCTACTCATTTTTAAACTCTCAGCTCATGCTTTGCTCCTCAGTAAAGTCTCCCCCGACCCCTGTCAGAAACTCGCATAGAACCTTGTCCTTCTCTGGTATGATTTCCTATGTCCAAGGAAAACATTCACTTCCCCAGTAAGTTAAATCCATATAACTGCCTTGACAAAAGGTAAGTTCCAGGTGAGCAGAGGTCTTTATCCACAGTCTAGCAAACCAAAAGATCAAGGATCTCTGGACCTCAATATGACCTCTGCAAATTATGCCAGTTATGTAAGCCTGGGCATATAACTTTACCACTGTGTTTTACTTTCCCCACTTATAAAATGGGAATAACAGTTCTTGCTTCAGAGGGTTGTGAGGATATGGCTATCTATTTGGTGTTTAAGGTATGCTGTACTTAGAACAGTGTTTGGCACATATTACATACTACATATTTGCTAAACCAATGAAAACAATGAATCGTTGCTGTTACTAGATTAAGAGAAACATCATTCTCCAACAGGGAGGCACCTCAGACTCAGCCAGAGTTGTCAATGTATGGTCACAGCTTACTGACCTCTTTATGTTTTAAATTTTCCCATCTGTTTGAAACTGTTTCTTTGTGCAATGGCTGTCCTAGAACCCATTGTGTAGACCTGGCTGGTCTCAAACTCAGAGAACCACTTTCCTTTGCCTCTCAAGTAAAGTAAAGGAGTATGTCACCATTATTGGCAGCCTACTGACATCTTTAATGGACCCTCCCAGCAGCTGACTATTTTTGTTTTTAATTACCAGGTGACTCCTAAAAAGAAATATAATGAAATGTATACTTATGTAAATTCCCATTAGCTGAGAGTGGTGGTGTATTCTTTGATTTCTAGCATCAGGAAAGTGATGCAGGAGAACTGCCACAAGTTTAATGTCACCCTGGCCTACATAGCAAGTACCAGGTCAGCTTGGGCAAGAAAGACCTTGTCTCAAACAAAAACAAACAAACAAAAAAGCACCCATAAAAAACAAGGGCCACAAGATAGCTCAGCAGGTAAAAGGCTTGCTGTATAAGCCTCATTAATTAAGTTGGATCTCTGGAATTAAAAGTGAGATTCCACAGTTTTCTCTGCCTTCAAATGCATGCTTTGGCATGCTGGCATACACATTCATCTCCTATTATACATACATAAAATAATAAATAAAAATGTACAAAACAATACATACACAAAACACAAAAATTCTGAATAATGATGTGATAATGATCCATAGATATAAATGTGTAATCATACCACCTTGAGGGTATGTGACAGAGCTTTGTAGAAAGAATGATATTCTGTCTCATCCTGGACTTTTCTGAGCCTCCTAGCTAGCCAGGAGGATGCTGCAGCACCCTCTACTGGGTCTAGAAGTAGTCTATCAGAGTCACTGTGGCCAAAGATCTGCAGAAAGCCTCTCTTCTGACCTCAGGTGTCTATGATAAATTCCAAAGCTCCACCTAAAGGGACATAGCATAATAGACTCTTGAGAGTCACAAAAGCTAATGACTTTGATCAAACGACAGCAACGAACCCTCATGTGTAATTTCTATCCTTTTGCATAAAATTTCATGACTTGTTACTTTTGGTTGCTGAGGCACATTCTCACTGAGTAGCCCAAGATGGATTTGAACTCTCAATCCCGTGGTCTCAGCCACCTGAATACTAGAATTACCGGTGTGCACAACTACCCACTTTAATTTCATGGTTTTTTTGCTTTTTGTTTTTTGATTCTCTGAGCCATTAATTAAAAACTTTAAAATTGTACAAATAGCATGCTTGTGACAAATAACGTTCATTCTCCTGGTCATACATTAAGTGCCATAACTAGAGGGCTACTTACCTAAACACACCAGAGTTCTGGTCGTCACACCAATTAATGAGATTTCATCGATCTTCTATCACCTTGCTCACAGACCGAACATTATCTTCAGAATACAGAGGTGGCTACCATGGCATTGCCTACTGCTCTACAATACAGTGCATCCACAAATGTATATTGTCAACCTTTCTTTCCCTTTTTCAGGAAGAGCAGAGTGCAGTATTCTCCCAGGGAAAGGGGCCACACTTGGGTAGAAGTGAATCATGGCAAAGTAACTGGTCATTGGAACATAGATACACATGGCTTGGATATCACTGGATTCTCTATTCAGTAACAATTAGAAATTGATGTGTGGGAGGTGATTGGCCAATTTTACTTGCTATGGAAAGTCTATGCCAGACATAGATGCTGCTGCTTCTGAAATGAATAGCCCTGATCTAACAGAACACCATCAATTGAAATCAAGGCCAGATACATACTTGATCAGTACTGGACACCTTACCTGTCTGAGAGCTGTCCTGAAATGAAGGAGCCCAACAGCACACCCACATAAAAGCAGGAGGTGGTAAATGGGGCTTTCCAGTCATTCTGACACACCAGGTCCCACTGTAGGAGGAGCAAAGGGATGCATCATTCACTCCGTTTCTGAAACTTAAGGCTTCTTGTTAAATGAATTGGCATACCCTGTATCCTCCTAATGTTCTGAAACATGAACTCACTAACACAAGCAATGGTTCACTTGGGCAGCAATGCAGAGAGAGCAGGGAGCCTCTCCCTCACTATCTTGTCTTTCATAGCACAGGCTCCCATGTCTTGCTTCATTTTGAGGAGGGGAGAGGGGCAAGCAGCAGCACTCTACCCAGACACTGACCTCTGGTCAGCAAGGCCTGTTGCTCTTACTACTAAGAATCCAGACAGAGCCAAAGGCCATGGAAGAGGCAAGGCATCCTTGCTCAGAACACTTCAGGCCACTGGAACAGAGGGTGTCTAAGAAGCAAAGCATCCAGCAGGGGACTGAGGCCAAAGGGCCTAGGGTGTTCGGACTAGATCTGCTCCTTTGGCTCTGCTTGGGTTTCCACCAGGGCCAATGGCCCCTCAGTCCCTGTGATATCCTGAGTTGGAATATTTGTTACCACACACCAACAGGACGAAGCCCAGTTATGCCTTGGAGTCATAAACTAGGAAGAAATGTTGGTTTTAACTGTGTGGTGGTTTGAATGAGAACGGGCCCATAGGCTAATAGATTTGAATGTTTGTTCACCACAGAGACAGGGAATGTGCTGCTCCCACAATGACTGTCTTCCAGGGTGGTGGAAGAGGAATAAATAACTGGGTCTCTCTGCTGTCCTGGGTTCGTGCAGTCACCTAGACCTGGGTGTAGAGGGTACCCTAGAGTCTGGATATAAAGAACCTCCATTGCCACCTCGGGCATACTATTACTTCTCTACTTTGGAGTAACATGCACTTTTAGATGAGGTAGGTGGGGTGGTGATCCCCAACACAGGGGATAATTGTGGATATCTGATCCCCAAGTCAAAGAGGAAGCAGCGATTAGCAGGAGTCAAACATGCTCTCGCTCCTCAGAGCTCCACTTGCCCTGGTGGTGCCAGCACCCAGATCCGGATGGGTGGATAAATGATCCTATAGTGTCCACCATCCACACATGACTGCTAAAGCATAAGTGGGAGCGATTGGGGTCATAAAGCTGAAGGAATTAGTGATGGCAGGCAGCTTCTGAGCTTCCGTGTAGCTGTGTGTCATAGACTAAATTATGGTTACTGTCATTCTTAAATATGATAAAATGTATTACTTTGCTAAAACAAAGACGAAATGAGGGTAAGTTTCTGGAAGCTCTTTATCAACATGCTCATTGTGATGGTTGGGGACTGATACGTCCATGCTAACAAGAAATCCACTCAAGAGAGCTGGGATAAAGCTGAGTTGGTAGAGCGCTTGCCTAGCATACATGAAGCCCTGGCTTTGGTTCATGTGCATAATCCCAGCTCTTGGGAGAAGAAGGATCAGAATGTCAATGTTCAAGGTTATCCTCAGCTACATGTTAATATCAAGGTTACTCTGGGCTACATCAGGCCATGTCTTTTTATAAAAGAAGAATGAGGAGGTGGAGGCTAAGGAAAATGTACACAGGATTCTACACCTGAGTTCTAGAATTGTGGCCCTCACTAAGTTTTCCATGTAAAAACAGGTCAAACTTATCTATAGACAGGCATGGTAGCATCTTTCAGGCTTTCACTCCCCTCCCCCCGCTTGATTTATCCTGTCTTTAGTCTGGGCATGAGCCTAACTCACTGAAGTAGCTATGCTGTCACCCACCACTGACAGGTCCTGATACCTCCCAGGGCCTGGCTTACATTAATATTTGTCTGCTAGTGGCTACAGGGAGCCTGTGAGTAAAGTCAGGAAAGACAAGAGTTCTCAAAAGCACAGGCTGAGTCCCACCTATTCACTTACCTGTCAACCAGGATATCCAGTGCAATAGGCATTTGGACTCAGCCTGAATTCTTTTTTTTTTATTTAGCGAATACTTTATTAGTTTTTGTAATCAAACCCACGTAGATAAGACCTTACATATTTAATACAGTGTGTTACCCCTGTACAAATGGAAAAAAAATTAAGTTCAACATTTCTAGACCAATATGGCTGTTAATTTCTGTACTATGCCAACTCAACACAATAAACTGGGATACTTTTTTCCAAAGTTGACAACACAGCTGAGGTTTCCAAAAATTCAAATTATATATATATATATGTATATATACATATTTATATTTATATAAAAAGACCAATAATAGCAATATGTTATGCATCAATAGCAGCAACAGCTTTTCCAGGTTCTGCAGTCATT